TTATTTATCAATATTAAGTCACAATTTGGATATCAGCTGAGGAGTAAGTACAAGACATCACATGGAATATTTTGTTTATCTCTGTTGAGATTTTATTTCAGGTGTTCACTGATCTGGATGAAAAACAGACAGCTAATACTATAATCTTATGCTGTTCTCTGGCAAAGTGTAGCTTCCCTGGCATCACAGTAGCTGATTCACTTTCTTGGCATTCATTGTAGCTAACTATTCCATTTAACTCTTTGTTTTATAGCGTAGCCATCCAAAGACAGAAGGTTGCAGCATATTTTAGTGTCTTCTGCTTATACTCTATAATCAACCATAGCTCTCTTTTCCTGAATAACAAAGCTGCAACAGTTACAAATTGCACCTTGCTAAATTCTTTGGACTTTGCTTAAGGCCTTCTCAATCCAAGGAAAAGCTTTTTCAAAAGCACAATTGTTTTTTGGGGGTTTTTTTGCCCTGCCATTGGTGCAACTCCACGTCTGCTAGGAATAGCTGGAAGCTACTACAGCCATGCCACTAGCACTGGTTAAACTGTTGCATCAGTTAGTTTTATTTGAATTAGGATCATAGGAAAATAGGGCTGGAAGGGATCTCACAAAGTCTTCTAGTCCAACCCCCTGCGTAAGGCAGGATCATGCTTATTAAAATATCCTAGCCAAGTATCTGTCCAACCTGCTCTTGAAAATTAGATCAACGCTAACACAGTTGTGGCTGGCATTGGTTGATGCCATCAAGGAATGGGCTAAATTGACAAGCAAGATGAGGATCTTAATTGAAAACTGGTAAAGCATTCTAGAAATTGTAATGAATAGAATAGATGTTGGAACTTTAACTGCCCTTTAACAACCTGTTTGCATGAATCCTAAGTTGTATAGGGCAGAGATCAAGTTTTTGTTCTATGTTTGTGCAATATTTAGAACAATGGACTCCTAGTCCGTGACAGGAATTCCTAAGTGCCCCTGCAAAAGTAACAATAAGCATTTTGAAAATGTGGCAATGGCGACAGATGGGTGCATTAGGTTTTATGAAGATTGCTTTTGTTTAGCTCCTTTCTCATTGCATCGTCTCATTCCATTTTTCATCCCAAATGAGCAATAAAATGTAAATACCTGAGCTGACCTACAATATTTGCTGAATGTGTGTTAGGGAGGAGGCCAGTACATATTGGACACTTCAAGTCAAGTCTATGTGATTTACATTGCTATTGCAGAGTACACTTTTTGCATAGCAGCAGAAATTGTCTTAAATCAGGGTTATATTAATTAGTAAGGCACACACACATATCTATACACACGCACACATCTCTTTTTCTCTCTTTCTCTCTCTCTCTCTCTATATATATATATACACACACACATAGCAACTCCAAAAACCCTTGTGGTCTGTTATGTGCGTTTTAGAAATATTGTCATAATTTCCTTTGAGTTTCAGTGCATTCATGGGTGTGTTGTGTTGTGTGAAATTCCCAGAGCACAAAATAACTTGCTGCTGGATATCACTCCTATAAAACACTTTTAATATTGTATTAACAGGACACTGCAGGAGCAGAATTCTGGCTTTTGGGCTTAGTCTAATCATCAGTGGCTGCATCTACATGTGCAAATTACTGCAAAGTAGACCAATTTGCTGCACTGTAAAGCATCACCATCTACATGTGCACAGCAGTTAGGCTGGTGTAGATTAATTTACTGCATTGTCATACACAAGTACTATCTGACGGTGGACTATATTACTGTGCTTAAATGCATGTATAGAAGGTGACATCTGAATTAGTTTACCCCAGCTCAGATTGTGCTGGGGTTTACTCAGTCACATTAATTGCACATATAAATGTGCCCAGTGACAGTGACTGACTAAAAGGAAGGTTAAAAAAAAGTCAAAGGAATTACCTTGACATCTGTCTCACTTTCTAAGAAACAATGGAACTAATTGCTCTGCACCAGTCTGATTTGTTTTCTCATTCTGTGTACTCATTTGTTTTCTCTGTGTTTCTAGGGAAAGCAGGGTCTAGTGTTGAGACTGTCAAGTCATGGCAGCTACTCTTCCTAGTCTACTGGCTTCATGAAAGGCTTTCAAAAGGAAAATGAAAGAGGGATGATGGAGTGTTAGTATTCATTCGTAGTCCAGATAAGGCAGTTAAATGCAGAGCAGATGACATTAATAGTAAACTCCTCCCGCTTTGCCTCACATAAACTTGTTTGTGTGCCAATGCCCTGCATTAACCAGTAAACCAATAATAAAAGCAATTGTATAAACTATCAACATTTTTACATTTTAGGTAGTTAATCTTGGCCCAGGAATTGTCAGCTTAAAAGCTTCTATATATTATTACTCTGCACTAAAATTTCAATTATATTCCCAGAGAAAAATAACTTTTTGAATGTGCTATTAAGCTTGTAACATTGTTTAGTGGTAGCTTCAGTGTGGAAATCATTAAAAGAAGGTAGCAATAAAAAAGTCAGTGTTATGTAGTAAACCTGAATATTGCAAAGTATAGACGTTTGCAGTTTTAGTATCAGTCTTCTCTTTCAGGACACTTCTGAGCATCCTAGTGGCCAACTTTCCTGTGGATTTGCTGGGAGGCAGCCTGCCACAAGCTTATCAATGCTCATGTTACAACATATGAGCCATCAAATAACTGAAGTAGGTTTATTGGGGAACCAAGAATTGGTCTAAAGTTCATAGTTTTGGAGCTAATCCTATAATGTTAGACTCAACGTGGGTGGGCAGGTCTAAATGAACCTAGGGCTTGCTGAAGGAACGAGCCAACCAAATTCTTTATTGTTGGGGGGAAAGGTTAATTGGACTTTCTCCCCTCCTATGGTATTATTTACAGGAAAGGAAAAAATATCCCCTGATGTCTTCTGTTTTCTGTTTTTTCTACCTTGTGACCAGATACAGATAATAGACGGTTACCAATCTAAGTGGTTAGAAACTGGTCTAAAAGCCATAACAGAAAAGAAGTTGGGTGAAAATGGTGAAATCCAGTCTAAGATAGACATGGATTGATGCTCACTCAAGCTTAATTTAGGTTAGACCGGTGCATTGAACTTCACTACCAGTTCCCTATTGTTTCAAGCTAGGTTGCTGTCCACCATCAGCCCAGGCTCCTTTGTGGCCCCCTCCTAGTTCCCTCCTCTCCCCAACATGGAGGTGCACTAGCACTCAGACTGCTCTAATCTGCTCTGGCCAGTCCCCATCCCCAAGCCATCACAGAGCTGCGTCAGCACAGACCCTTTCTGAAGCCCTGCCTCCTGCTTCAGCTAGTTGTCAGCCACGGGCAGGCAGCATGATGGGGGAAAGAGAAGCATCTGTGTCCCTGTATGAACCCTGTCATGAAACACTCAATGATGTACACAGAGACCTGACAGCCCAGGAGAAGCCCTGTGAGTAGGAACAGCTCCACAGAAACTGACTGGGCTGCTGGGCATGTACAAGCATTGTGCCATGTCATCTATCAGCCACAGGCATCTGTCAGCTGCAGACAGGCAGCATGGGTGGGAGGTGGGCAGAGGGTATGTTTGCCCATGCCCGGCAGCCCAGCTTGGCTCCTTGGGGTTGTACTCACTTGTGGGGCTTCTGCTGGGTTCAGTGTCAGGTCTGTGTGTACGATGTAGGGTCTTTGTAATGGGGTTCATGCAGAGACACAGACTCTGCTCCTCTACCCCTAACCCTCCACCCTGCTGCCTGCCTGCAGCTGACAGATGCCTGTAGCTAATACATGCTGCTGCTTGGGAAGAGGAGAATGCTTGCTTGTGCCTGGCAGCCAATCAGGGTTGGCCTGGCTTCTTGGCTGCACTCAGCAGCCTAGGGAGCCCATGGGGCCTGTTGGGAGGTGTGTAGGGGTGCATCCAACCTGCTGGCCTTGGTCACTGCAGGCAGCCTACATGCTTCCCCCCACACCAAATGGCAAACATGTGTTCTGTTCACTACTGTTCTACAGTATCACCTATCATAGGTAAGTTGATCTCAAAGACAGTCATTCTAAAGAGAAATGTGAAATATGCTTAGAATCTCTCAAATGAATGTAATAGAGTGAAGAACCCACGTCCCACTGAAATTTTATGGCAATTAGGCACATAACTTGGGGACCCTTGGGCAGAGGTGGGCACAATACGGCTCATGAGATGGATCTTGCCCACCAGGCCATTCTATCCAGCCCATGGGGCCCTTAAAATTTAGAACATTAATATTTATCTGTCCCTGCCTACCTGTCAAAGATGACAGGAGCCAGCAGCAGTAGGACCCTGTGGCAGAACTAAGTATCCTCAGCACAGGGGAGCCTGTGGCAGAACTAAGTAGCCTCAGCAGCAAGGCCGGCCCAGCCCTACCCCCCCATGCCAGCCCCAGCCCCAGCCTCAGCCTCTGCCCCTGCTCCTGCCTCCCAGCCAGAAGCTTCAGCCTAGCAGAGGGTTCTGGCCTGGGATCCTGGAGTTGTTCCTGTCTCCCTGTGCTGGAGGGAAATTGAGATAAGAAGGTGTGGGGGAGGGAGGCAGGGGAGGACTGCAGGTGATCACTCTAGTCCTCAGGGATGGGATGGGCCAACTCCTATGGTCCTGGCAATGAAGCCGGGAACCACGTGGTGCTGGAGTGGTTGGTGGGGGGGAGGAGAGTAGGGAAATGGCTGTGGAAAGCAGGGGGAAGGGGCAGCAAACAAGTTCATGGAGTACAGCAATACCTGGGTGGGCATGCAGGGCCCACACCAGTGTCCTGGGACCAGTGCCAGCAGGGCCAGGGCAGCAGGGGCTCTTTGGAGCCAAGCTGGCTCCCCTCTTTCTCTGCTGACACAGTGAAGCGAAGCTCCACAGAACCCCTACCACCCTGTGCCCCACCCTAGGCTCCCACTGGCATGGGACCCATGTTTCTGCCCAGCTGTTACTGCAGTTTTCATGCCTGCTTGCTACCACTCCCCTGTTGCCTGCCACAGCCATTTCCCTGATTTCTTGCCTGCAGCTGCTGCCACTCTGGCACCATGTGATTCCCAGCTGCAGCACCAGGAATGCAGGACTCAGCAGGACCTGACATGGCCTCCACAATTCTTGGCTGGCCCTGTGCGGTGCCAGCCGGGCAAGTTTGATTCCTGTTGTATTCTGGTGTCTCAGCCGTGCAGCAGGGAAGTGGTGCTGGAGCAGTGAGTGGAGTGAGTGTGTGTGTGAGGGTGGGGGGGGGAATGGGGAAGCAGCAAGAGAAGGGCAGCAGTGGCAGATGGGAGGGGGAAGTGAACTGGCAGTGAGTGGGAACATGGGGCCCGAGCTGGGGCCGGGAGCAGCAGGAGCATATAGCCTGGGCTTGGAGGAGTGCTGGCAAGGGCTTTGCCCTCCATGGGGGATGGGGGGCAAAACCCTCCCCCTCCACAGATGACACAACCATCCCCAGCCATTCTTTCCCCACACACTTACAGGCACCCACAAACCCCATACGCACCCCAAACATCCATACAAACACCCCCATACTCCCCCACCCCACATGTACACACCCACACCCCTGTGCCTATCCACGCCCCCACAAACTCCAGACCCACACCCTCCCCCACACCTTCCCCACGCACCCACAATATACAAGAGTAAGTCTTCATTTAAGCTATTATACTATCACCTCTATATACACTACACAAACACATGTAAATCAGGACAAAAATATTTTTTGAAATGAAATTAATGAATGTTGTAGTACCTGTTTAATTTTTAGAATATACTTTGATATTTTTCTGGTTCCGAGATGGCAAACCCCCTTGCTGAAAGGAGTACTTCTGGGGGGCAAGGGGAGGGATTTCTGGTGGCAAAGATCAGGGGTTGGGGGCAGGACTTCCAGTCCCATGATGGCAACCAGGGGGCAGGGCACCCGTGAAGGGGCAGGGCTACCCTTGCAGCCCCCAATGGTTTGCGGAAACTTGGGAAGCAGCCCTCCACCCAAAATAATTGCCTGTCTCTGCCCTTGGGGATCTCTGCTATTCTATTACTATGTCTATTCTATTTCTATTACTGTAGTCCAGCAGGTAGTTGGTTAACAATACCTGATACAAACACAGATGCTTTCTTTTCTGTTAGAAAGGATAATAGTCCTAATTGCTTTGGCAGAACCAGCAATATTGTCCATTATCAACAGCTCTCAGAGAGGTAAAAGATGCAAAGAACTAAAACTCATTACTAAATAATTCAGACTGTAAAAAAAAAAAAGAAAAGAAAAAAAGAATCAGTCTCACCCAGCAATAAAATTATTCTTGCTAAGATATTTTTAGGTGTTCATATTTTTCTCTCTATATATTGATCAAATAATATAATAAAAAAGCTTTTATATCTTTCTGATGGGAACAGTGGTCTAAAAATAAGGTTTCTCAGGAATAGGACAGAGCCCTTCTTTGATACTTTCAGGCTGTTGATGTCTTGGTGTATACTCTTTTGTTTGGCATCAGTCAGCCATGTCAGCTTTATATCTAAAACTTTATTTTCCTCCGAAGTCCTTAGACTTGGGTAGCTTTGCCTTTGAGCTGCATAGTATTGATCTTTCTTCCCCTCTTCCTTTTCTTTTTTCTTTGTCTTTTACATAACAGTATTACAGTAATTTTCTGTTGCCCTTCTGAGTTGTTATTCAAGGACATAAAGAGGAAAACATTATATGTAGAAAATATTCTGATTTGAAAAGACGCTGTTATTGTTACAGAAGATTGTATATATATAATGCAAGATATTTTAAAGGAGATGGCAAAACTGAATCTCTTTTTGCTTCTGTGTGATGTACAAATGCATTTTTATTTATATAAATTATTTTTCCTGATTTTTGTCTGAAAGCTTTTCTTTGCTACTAAAAACCCAGCCTTTTTAACTTCAGAGTAACTAATGTACATAAATAAGGTAAATTTAGCAAGGTCAGTTCTGTACCCCTGCTGACGATTGACCTTGGCAAGTGTAGCTAGTGATAAATCTGAAGTGGCTTGTCTCCAGTCTGTTTGTACCTTGGGAGAGCTGAGGCATGTTAGTTACCCAAAGGTAAAAATAGTTCTCTTAGCAGTGAAAAAACAGGAATGTAAACTCTGATCTCTCCTAGTTCTGCTGCTACAGGTTCCCTGGGAAGTAAAATAAGACAACACAAGTCTTCCACTCAGTGCTTGAAGGAACTGAATATTTCAAAAGTTATTTTTTAATCTTAACTCATGTTAATTAGTCTTTGAGGTTAAAAAGGTGGTAACAGCAATAACAAAAAGCTAAATGAGTTTGAAATGCTATAACTAAACATAACTAAACATTCCTTTCTACCCTAATAGTGCTACTTCCTTGTATTCTGTGACACTCATTTCAGTTATCATAGGGCATATATTTATAGACTTTTATCTTGAGTTAGTTCCTTGTCAACTATGAAATATGTATATTTGTGAATGATTATGTGATCCATTTCACCCTAGTGATATATCAACGTTTGTTCTTCTTGATCCCCAAGTAACTGTTATATTGTACATTTGATATTGGTATTCCAGAACTGTCTAGAGGCATCAATTCTTAACCAGGTCCCTCTATATACATCTAAGCTCTTCAGAACTGGGACTCTAACTTACAGTTAAGTAAATAACACTTATTTCTTTCTACACATTTATTTTTATCTGTGGGACTGATCTATTGGATTGTTCCACACCAGGGGGTGGCTGGATCTGGCCCACAGGCTGGATCCAGCCTGCAGAGCTGTATCATCTGGCCCCAGGTGCTGCTTGAGGATCTCACTGACTCACAAGCAGCATGCTTGGTCTACTGCTTAGCCTTGTACAGCTCCTGCAGAGTGGCTGCCATGTGCAGCACAGTCCCAGAGTGACTGCATGCAGTTCTGGTGTTGGATGTGGTCCATAAGACGAGATCCCTCCTGAGCATGTGCACACTGATTAGAGGTGGTAAGGTTTTAGAATAACTAAACTTTACACCTTGATGATGTCAGTGACCCACTTGCATCTGGGAAACCTGCACAGTAGGTTGCGTGGTCCAGTCGAGTGTCATGTGCTACACCTGAATGCCAAGAGCACAATAGTAGAGCGTTGTGTGCACGAGTATGATTGGTGAGAAGAAAGACTGACACATGGTGTGATTTTGGTGAGTATTTAAGGAATCCTGAGGCATGATTCAGCAGGCGAATGGAATATGGATGCTTGCGAGTACTTGAGGTTTGAATGGTGTGCGAGCTTACTTGGTTGGTGATCATACCTGCGTGTCTGATGTGTATGAACAGTGACTGCAGCAGTGAGAGAGAGAGGGGTGACCTATTGGATTGGATTACAATTGGATACTTACCTGTAAAGGCATTATTGGATCGGGACCTCGATCATCCATTGGATTAGTAATTATCACCCTTCCCTCCCTTTCAGTCTGAGACCCTCTGAGGGAAAAAACTGAGAGCCTGACTGTCGCTCCTGTGAAGGTCCCGACGCTGCCCCTCGCTGCCTCCTGGCAGGTCTGTTTATGATGCAGTGCAGTTAACTAGTGTATATAATTAATGCTTGATGTTACGTACGTGTCCTACTGTTAATCTTGTTTTTGTTGTGATCGTGAGTTGATAATATACTTTTCAACTTTATTGGAGCCTCTATGTATTTATAGGGTATATGAGGGTGGGCTGTAGCTCTATGTATATCCCTTACCCCCAAATCCACCCCTAACACAGATAACACATGAAAGGCCCTGCTGTCTGAGCAGGCCTAACAACCCTCTGCCCCCTAGATTTCTCGTAGGTGGTCAGTGTCCAGGACACCCGGTGGTGTCCACCTTTCACTGGGGCTATACTATATGTAGCATGGACTCTGTGGAGGTACAGTACAGCCTCATGGTTATGCCATGGCGTGGTGTGAGAGGAGTCCCATGGTTGTTGGAGCAGGACTGACATGTGAGGCCAGTTTTTGGGTCCAGTTTGGCTTGTGATGTGGCCCAAGTCTGTGGGGCTCGATGAGTTTAACACCCCTGGTCTACACACATGGTTGTACCAGCTTAACTGCATGGGTTGGGAGGGTGTTTTTTTTACCAAAATATTTATGCTGGTGCAACTCCTGGCATGAATAATTTTATGCTATTATAAAGGTGGTAGGGGAGGGGAGTGTAGCCAGGCACTAGGGTGCCTGCTACTAGAAGTGCTGGGATAACCCTTCAGGTGCCGGTTGCTGAGGCAACCAAAGGGAGCTAATGGCTTACACCTGCCCAGCCAGCTGAAGAAAGGGGCAGGGCCTGGCCTCTATATAAAGCACAGGCAGGAGGCCAGAGGGAGTTCCCCTACCAGCAGCTAAGGATGAAGGAGCTCCCTGCCAGAAGCGAGAAGAACCTGAATGCCAGAGCAGCATTGGTCACCGTGGTAGGAGAGAAAACCCGGTAGGCCTGAGCATTGTTATAGCCAAGAGGCTCGAGTTTCTGTTGTGTTGTTGTTTATCACCGGTGGTTTGGGTGAGGCTATAAGGGGATGGAGGAGGCCTCATAGGGGACTCACGGTAGTGTGAGGACCCCAGCCCCAGTGAGGGCACAGAGTTCGGGGTGTACAGACCCCAGCTCCAGAGAAGGGTGGCGGAGAAACCCCAGAAGAGGGGGTAGTGGTGCAGTGAGCCTGGGGAGAGGGCCGCATTGCAGAGAAGAGGGCTGCATTGCAGAGAAGAGCCCTGTGAGAGACAGGGCCACGGAGAGCCCGAGCGCCAGAGGGGTGTAGGCCAAGACAGTGTTGTACACACATAGCCCGCAAGGCTTGGGTACACAGAACACCCGAAGCAGGAGAACTGTAGCCAAGCAAAAGAAAGGTAGTCTCCCTATAAAGAACTCGCATACAATCAAAGTCGTGGCGGGGGGGGATAGGAGGGGGCAAGTCTGAAGCTTGGCACGGGAAAGGAGGCGACAGGGGGGGGCACAGCTACCCTGAAGTCACTCCGGCCACAGGGAGGTTTACTGGTATGTCTTATTTTCTTTCTAATATATAAATATATGATGTTGGTGTAAGACATCATGAAGGTATAACTGTGAATGTTGGATTGAATGTTGGGGAAGTGTGCATGTGTATATACTGCTATAGTTAGAATGGTATATCCTTTTTATGTATATCTTATTGACATTAAGGCCCAAATGTTTAGGTGCCTATAGCCTATTGAATTTCTTCTTAAAAATCTGTTTGTTTGTAACCAACTTCCCACTGGGAGTATGAAGCATTAAAAACCAGAACCTAGTTTTCCTCTGTTATAGTTCAGCACTTTTAAGAAGGGCAAGGGATGGTCCCCTTAGGCCCAGTCTAAACTGATATTTTAATCTGATTTACACTCTTTGCATCTTTGTCTTACCTGTTCCTGCATGGCTTGTCTTGCTGGCCATTTATTAAGTCATGTATGAAATTAGTTTAGAATCTCCTACAGCAAATATTATTGCAAAATTATGTTGAATTAATGATTGATACAGTCCCAGCAGTGCTGGAAAAGTAATTCAGGAATGCACCCTTTCAGCTGATATTCCTGTCTTCTCAAAGTAGTTTGTATGAACCTTGGAATGGTTCTTAACAAGGAAGGACTTTATGACCACATAGACCTAGCTGATAACCTCTGTTACCTGTGGTTACAGTAGTTCCCCACCCTTTCCAAAGTTTCCTGTTGAATGATCTCACCCACATTTTAGATACTGTCATTGTCCAAGTGACAGAATGCCCCAAGAGCACTTACATCTTTAATGAAAAAGTTGGATAATCTCCCTCTGTAAATGTAGTGGAAAATACAAAAATTTTGAGCTACATCCTCCCCACCCCCCAAGAAATACTGTCTGAACTGGACAGATATAATACTGAAGTTTTATGCAATACAGACTGCAAGGTGTTTTTGTGAAGCTTCACTTTACAGTCAGCAGATGAGACCGATCAAAGCAAGGTGCTTACTGAAGCACAAAGGTAGGCTCGGAGGCATTGGTCAAGAAAAGCAGTATTTCTTCTAAGCTTGGAGAATGAAAGTGCTCATCCCTTTTAATCACTTTGTCATTATTGTTACTCCTTAGGTTACTTCAAATCGAGAAGCATTATAGGAATACTCATGCTGCATAATTAAAATTAAAAATCAGTTGGAAAACCTGAAAAGGAGTTTTCTTCACTTATCAGTAAGTAGGAATCTTTTTACCATGAAAAGCAGATTCACAACTTGACCCTCCATCTCTTAAACTGACATAACTCATAGCACTCAATAACCTGTAAGTGCAAATGAAGGTCAGTGCTGCTGATAAACTGTCAATTGTAGGGGAAAATAAAGGTCATAAGTTACATAACTGGCAGTCACGCGACACTTCTTGGATCCTAATCACAGCATTTTATACAGAAATGTAGACATTGATGTTGGACTCAAATACTCAGAACACTATTACAAAGTTTCCAAATGTCAAAGAAAAATATAAAAATATTTCTAATGGAGAATTGTGCTTTCAGGCACACAGCTCTTATATTCAGTTATACCATACTGCACTTTGTCTTGTATAAACCATGACAGTCATTACTGTGGTTTTCAGTATAGAAAACGGAAAGTCACGTTGCAAAGAGATTGTCAGCAGTGAAAGATTTTTATTAGCGGAGGAATGAGCTTCATGAACAAGAGCTTCCAATGTTTTGAGACACCTGCCAACTTGGCCTCTACTCCAACCCCATGTTCACATAGCTTTAGCTCTTTAATAGGAAATGTACTGAGGCATATAAATAGGGAACATTTTGAGATGGACTGTGCTCAAAATGGCCTGTAGCTATTGTATATATTTATGCAGCTGAAAGCAGTGCTATACAGAGAGACCCAAGCTAGCTATGAAGGAGAGGTCAGGTACGTGAACCAGCACAGCTCTACCTTTGTATAGTTCTCTGCACAGGCTAATTTACCTTGTTTCTCAGGGCTAATTAACTTTGGTGGAAAGCTGTCCAAATGCATACACGTGCTGAAATTCTTTACTGGATCTGCCCCGAGTGATCAGTTCATTGATGGATCATATCCATGTTGTGGGCAAACCTTTAGAGTGGACATGTATTCCATGCTAGACCTGCTTTTGAACTGGATAGAAACAGATGTGGTGATGAAGGGGGTCAGTCAATTTTCCTATGCTCAGATTTCTCTGCACAGCTTGGCAAGCTGGGTAGCTGATGTTTAAATTCTGTGTAGTGATGCACGTATCATATCAGAGCACAACACAAAAATAAATCTCTTCAATGAATTGGAAAACCCCTTCCCTCCTTGCACACTTCCTTTGTGTGAGTAATATTACTGAAACCTTCCTTATGGCAGAAGACAGACAAATCATAAAATTGAATCCAACACCAAAGATATAAAACTTTGCTATTGAGGTTACAGACCATGCCTGCACAGTGCTTCCTTTATACTTAGCCTGAATCATTGATTGTCTTCCTGTTTTATCGCCATTCTCTTTCCTTCTATTCACGAGTTTTCTATTACCTGCCAGACTATTGTATTACTGCTAGTAACACACAATCCTTTGTGCAGAAGAAGTCATGCACAAAATAAACAGACCTTTATCCTGCCATCTCAAAACTTTCCCTTTTTCTGTGCCTAAATACATTTCCTATTAGAAGGAGCCAAGGCTATGTGAACATGGGAATGGAGTAGAGGCCAACTTGGCAGGCCTTTTAAAGTATTGGAAACTCTCATCCATGAAGCTCATTCCCCCTCTGACAAAGATCTTTCACTGCTAACAATCTCTTTGCAATGTGACTGTTTCAGTTTTCTATGCTGAAAGCCACAGTAATGACTGTCATGGTTTATACAAGACAAAGTGCAATAGGGAATCTGGGCCACCAGCCGAATTACACTGAGCACTGGAACTTTCTTCTTTGCATTCTTTTACATAGGCTTCCCCATTTGAAAATGCCATAAAATAAAAATTGCTTGAATAGGTGCCATATGTATGCAGAAAAGTGTGCTCAGAACAGAGGTAAAGTTTTGTTCTCCTTTCTCTTGCCTTCTTTTTAAGGAAAATCCTAGAACTCTGATCTAATATGAAGGATAAAACATCCCCAGCAGTTGGAGCCTAGAAAGCCTCTGCAATTCAAGTGTATGAAAGGTAGGTGTCAGAAGCAGGCATGGACGTATGGAGAGGGGATTCTGTGCTTCTTATGTACTAGCAGCTGTGGGTTGTAGATAATAGGATGGGAGAAAGGGAAAATATGGCTTGTGGCTGGGTAGTTTGGAAAATCTTCAAATATCCCTGAAGTGAATGCAGAAGGACTGTGACCTCTTTCGCAGCTCAGTTTATGGAGTAGCAGCTGTGGAATGGCAGCAGGGGCTGTCCTCTGCACTACTTTCAAATCAAAGAATGGATTCTTTCCTCCTTGCAATGACTCCTCCTAAGGCACATTTACTCCTGTTTTGTGAAGGGTAAGCTTTGCCTGACAGAAGCATGGCTTTTCACTTTCCTCTTCACTGCTGATGAGAAAGTGAGTGTATACAAAAGAGAGTTAGGAGGCCTTGTAGCTGTTATTCTTAAGCTGGACAGAGTTGTGAGAGACTATAAATTGAACAGATACGTGATATTAGTTTAGCTCATCTGTATAGCGATGCATAGGATCCTAAATATATATAACTAAGGGGATCACTATATATGTAAATAAGTGGCCAGATTGGTCTTCACAGTGCTTCCTGCACCAGTGCTTGAAGTGGTGCAGATCCACATGCCCTCAGCACTTTAAACCAATGATTCTCAATGAGGGTGCTGCAGCACCCTTGGGTGCCATGACAGCCTTTGAAGAGTGCTGCCAGGGGAGAGGAGATGAGAGAGAGAAGTGCAGAATACTTGAGGATGTAAGTTCAGACTCTTCCCTTCCAGCTGTTCCTTCTCCCTCAACTGGCTGCAGCACGGGCTTTCCCCTATTGCATGCTCCTCCTTCTTCTCCACCCCTTATTCAAGCATGTAAAATAAATAAATAGGTTTTTGAAATGGGATGCTGCTCAGGTCCCCAAACTTATGGAAGGAAGCCTTGAGTCTAGAAAGGTTGAGGACCAGTTTCTTAAAGCAAAACCTTGTCTAAGTTTTTTTTTGTTTCATTATGCTTATTTCCCACATATTTATGAAATACTAGTCAATGTTAGAGATAGATGAATTGTAGCTTGCCTCCAGGAAATCTGGCTTTGACAGCAAGGAAGGTAGGTGAACTTTTGTATTTGGTTTCACACCTTCAATGTCCAGAAGTACCATTGGAACCTCTAGTGTATTTCCAACAAGCATCTTCCCACTGACTAAAATGATTCAGGCTTGGGGGTACTCCCAGTGCAGGTGCCAGGAATATCTTGCACTCTTGAAGCTTCTCCAGCAGAACCCTGAGTCATCTATACCTATGGTATGCAACCTTGGTGGTTTCAACTGTAGGGTGTTTTTCTGTGCAGTATTTGGATTTATGTGGAAATATGAGACAGACATGTGAGCTTACACAACACCACCCAGTGATCAGTCAGTTATCACAAACTTGTTCTCTCAGATGTGGGTATGGTAATTCTTATTTCTGTTAGTGTTTGGATGAAAGTGTTGCCTCTCTCCAGGTACTATTGGAAATATTCCCAGTTTTATAAATGGTCTTTTTGATTGACTGATGCTTTGCTGTGGGCTATAAAATGTCTCAGCTGAAGACATAGGAAACTGAATGATACTGGGCATACGGTATTTGCTTTGCTGATGCTCTCAAGATTTCTATAATGATATCAATATTCCTATGTTGAGGAAAATTTTAATTGAGTTAAATAATTAAAGCTAAAGAATTGCTTTAATTGTGCGTAAGTTCCACTTAGAAGTTTTGGCTGTATTATAGATTTCTTCAGTAGAAGATTGTGAATTGATGACACAGGCAAAGTTATATAATCAAGAAACTTTAATTGTTGTAAATGCAGAGCAAAACAGAATTGCACTATTTTTTAAAAGTGGTTTGAAAGCAATTACACTCAGGGGGTTTGTGGGGTTCTTTGAATGCTCCTGAACAAATGCAACAAACTTGCCAGATGGATGTGAGACCTGTTGTTTTACCCAGGTGATTAGAACCATTTCATATTTCAGCATTATTCCCAAATGCTTGTGGAATATCTTATAGTGTCATAGGGTGTCTATACATGTGCTCTGGGGGTGTGTATGGAGGGGGTGCTTTAATTAGAGCATCTCCAAGTGTTGCTCTAATTAATGCTTCTAGAGTGACTTGTATATCAGTGTCCTCACACTTAAAAATGGCAGTAGGGGTGCTTTATCTAAACCTTGTTGAGCCAGCTTTAGATAAAGCACCCCCATCGCCATTTATGAAGCATAAGGATGTGGATTGAATCATAGAAAATTAGGGTTGGAAGGGATCTCAGGAAGTCATCTAATCCAACCCCCTGCTCAAAGCAGGACCATGCCCAACTAGATCAACCCAGCCAAGGCTTTTTCTAGCCAGGTCTTAAAAACATCCAAGGAGGTCAGTCTCACCTCCATCCTTGGCAAAGTCTTTGAAAAAATTATCAAGGCTCACATATGCGAGAGCCCGGCAGGACAAATTATGCTGAGGGGAAACCAGCACGGGTTCGTAGCAGGCAGATTGTGCCTGACTAATCTAGTCTCTTTTTATGACCAGGTTACGAAACGCCTAGACACAGGAGGAGGGGTGAATGGTCGTATACTTAGACTTCAGGAAGGCCTTTGATAAGGTATCCCACCCCATACTGGTGAACAAGTTAAGAGGCTGTGACTTGGATGACTACACAGTCCGGTGGGTGGCAAATTGGCTAGAGGGTCGCACCCAGAGAGTTGTGGTGGATGGATCAGTTTTGACCTGGAAGGGTGTGGGCAGTGGGGTCCCACAGGGCTCGGTCCTTGGACTGATACTCTTTAATGTCTTCATCAGCGACTTGGACGA